ACACTGTTCTACAGCATTAGCCCAGAAACATCATTACAAAGACGACCAACTTCACCACAAAGAGAGGACTTGGGCTGCAAAGGAAAAAGCACACATCTTAAATTCACCATCCCATACTATAAGACTCACGGCTCAAATCCTACCCCAGAATCTATTTTCCCAAGGGGTCTGTCCCTGCCCCAGATGTGCTCTCTCGAGATTCCAGGACCTTGCACTTGCCCAGCAGGCCTGTACTGGTCCTGTCTGCCCCCACCAGTAAGTGGCCGGTCACAGCTTGACTTGCTGGCAGCCAGAGCGTGTGTGTAGACATACCAAAGCAGCCACAGCCATTACTAAGGAAACCCTTGGTTTTTCTATAAACATACACTTCCTGTACACAAAGATATGTTTTACATTTTAATTTTGAAATATAACTTTAAGTTTTGATTATAGCATTTTAAACTATGTATCTTAGCCTTAGTCATCCTGGAACTTACTTTGTAGAACAGGATGGCTTTGAACTCAGAGATCCGCCTGCCTCTGCCTCCTGAATGCTGGGATTAAAGGTGTGTGCCACCACCCGGCAAAAGTTTAATGTTTTTAATTGGGCCACTTCAGCTTATTGACTCAGACTTTCAGACATAGTGAGTGTAAGGCAGACTCAAACACAGCCATACATAGTGACCTAAATCTCCCTGAGCCAACATGAAAGGCTCACACACTCAGGAAACAACACCCAACAGGCACATGAAGGCCAACAAGGGGCGAGGTGTGCCAGGACGAGTGGATACAGTGGCAGGTTAAGGAGAACGGGAAGAGACCATTGCTATCTGCACTGATGAGAGATAAGGATTTTAGCATTTTTAAAGGTCATGGGGGAAAAGAAAAGCAGCAGCAGCAAAACAAAAACAGATGGGGTCGCCACTGTCCAGACCCCTCTACCTGACGACTTTCTGGAATGTGTATGCAGGCACTCATGGTGAAGAGCCAAAACCTGAAAGTTTTGTCCACCCAGGACAAGTTGTAGCTTAGCTTCCCTTTGTGAAACAGCAAACTCACCCTTCAGGAGGATTTATCAGGAGTCACAGTTTCTCTTCCAAAATTTCTATTAATTTCTACAAATCCACTCACCTGTCCAAGCCGTGTGAAAAATCTGTACACCACTGAGGGCTTCCCATGGACAGAGTCTCCAACACTGTCCCCTTCAGACATTCTGTAACTGAGATAAACACAAGAGACTTTAAAAATAAAAAGCATTTGGGGGTGTGAAAGTGTTCCCCTCTACTGACCAGTCTGTCAAGAAGTTCTTAAGACTTGACATTTCATCCAAAGCATTTCTTTGGGTTTTCACCAAACATCCTGTCTTCTCCATATTCTGCCCTGGATCTATACTCCCAGAGCCAGGTCCTCTCCCTATCAACAAGGCTAGCAGGCAGCCATCTATCCCTGCCCCTGCTTCTTCTCTGGCAACTAAAGGTTACCCTAACTGCCCCTAGCCATTTCAACATGCTGCTGGGATCCCAGGCAGAATTCACCACAGAACCTAGACACCTAAGAAAATCATCATTACCCACAATTTCACAGAGGACAAACCTCCAGCAGACCAAGGCAAGACAGCAGCTCAGGCCCAGCCTGACATCCAGCTCTTCAGATATGGACTCAGGGAAACTGCTAGGTGATAGGGCCTTTGTCATCTATCCTACTTGGAAGGTGGGGAGGGAAAATCTTATGGTCCTGGGCCTCTCAAAGCTGTGTGTAGAACCTGCCCCACCTCCTTCTGGTACAATGAAAGCGAATCAACAAACTGTGATTCAAGTGTGACTTCAATCTGCCTTAGCAGACTCTCTGGCTGCTACCATCAGACTCAGGTTCATATGTAAGATGATGCTCTCTTTATTTAAAACTACACATAGAGGTAGACTTCAATCTGCAGCAAGTCTTGAGCTTGGTCTCAGCTCCCAAAGTAGGCAATATGAGGCTCACAGTAGGGCAGCAGGGCTGTAAGTCCTACACTTCCAGCCTATCCTCTGTGTGAACACTGGGGAAATCTTCTGGAAGATGTCGGTGGCCTCACAAATCTTAAGTCTTCTCTGCAGTTACACAGGTCAGACTCACGTCTGCATTGAGGGCTATGAATGTGCCTCCATTTCCTGGATCGACTGAGCACAGTGCTCAGAGCTGGCCAAGAGACTGAGAGTGCCCTTTGGTCTCGGGTACATTGCATAAACTAGATGTACACAATTTAACTGAAAAACCTAGCTATGGCTCTCCTTTCTGGAGGTACATTTTTACACTTTATGGGGGATTCCACATTTAATAGAGGCCACATTAGAATGTACTACTTAGAGTGGTTATGGCCATTCACCTTAAGCTAAAACCCAGCCTACAGAAGGCTGTCTTAGACATATTCTTTACCCTCTGGTACACGCAAATGTTCCCTTAATTTACAGTGTTTACCACTAAAACACATTTGCTCATATTGAGACAAGAGTGATACTGAAAAGAAAATGCTAGGCCTGGTGGTATACACCTTTAATCCTAGTACTCAGGAGGCAGAGAGGCAGGTAAGTTTGAGGTCTGCTTGGTCTACATAGTTCCAGACCAGCCTATCTATATAATGAGACCATTTCAAAGAAAAAAAAAAAAAGACAGGGTTATTCCTTTAAAGTATGTACTCTACGCTGAGCTGACAGCTTATAACTCTGGGTCAGACGATACTAGGAAACCTACCAAAAACACAATAGTCAAGTTTTGATTATCAGACAAACATTGATCTGCATCTTGATTAAACTCACTGCCAGTAACAACCTGTGAGAAGCAGCATACCAAGATTGAGAGTGTGACCTTTGGAGTCCCACTGTCTGCTTCAGATCGCAACACCGCACTTTGCAGTGGTGTGACCTGGGAAGGCTAATGAAGAATGCCTGGGGCTGGCATCTGGAAAATGGGATGAGATCCTCACTGCCTTCCTCGAAGGGTTCCTATGAGGATCTGGTGGCAGCCTGTGCTGAAGCTTCAGAGCCCGGCTCCAAGCAAGTGCCAGCCCCTCAACACGCCAGCCCCGTTCCTGGATTAGGGAGGTCCTCGTACCAGCTGTCCAGCTGCAGTCCTCGTCGCTCAGACAAAAGGTCAGAGAGGCCCTTCAAGCTGTCCAAACTGACTGCCAGTCCCATGTCACATCACTGTTTCTATTTCCTTTAACAACTGTTTCCAGAGCTGATCGGTGGTGGCCCTTCACCTTTAATCCCAGCACTTGGGAGGCAGAGCCAGGCAGATCTCTGCGAGTTCAAGGCCAGCCTGGTCTACTAGAGCTAGTTCCATGACAGTCTCCAAAGCTACAGAGAAACCCTGTCTCAAAAGCCAAAGCAAACAAACAACAACAACAAAACCAACAGTTTTCCAATTCTTTTCTACTAATCTCTCAGCTTCCTCCCACTAGCATGCAAGCTGCTTGAGGGAGCCTGTCTAGTTTTTAGACGGGCATCACAACCTGCAGGGCTTGCCACGGACTACTGAAACTGTTCTGCGTTCAGTCACAAAAAGGCAAGAAGAAAGACTGTTCTAAGGTAGACCAGTACCACACACAGAACACACACACACACACACACACACACACACCCGTGCCTTGTTCTAGAGTCCATTATTTGGCTAGTTTCTGTACTCCATCACTCCTAAGTTAAGAATGCGGGAGCTGGAGCGATGGCTCAGGAGTTAAAAACACTGACTGCTATTCCAAAGGACATGGGTTCAATTCCGAGCACCCAGAGTGGTAAAATTAAAACATAAAAAAAAAAGAAAAGAAAAGAAAAAAGAATACGGCAGAGAGGAGAAAGCTCTCTGTATAGCATCAGGGGTCACTGCCTCCTGACCAAGGAGTAGCACCTGCACACTCCAAGAGTTGCTCCCTCTTTGACAGCCCTTCCAGACCTGGCCTGTGAGCTCTTCCGTGCCTGGGCCCCTCCCACCTTGGAGGATGATCACCTAGGATCTCCCTCAGGCCTTTTTTCACACTCTACACAGCCAATCCCCCACCACCCGACAAGGCAGGACCAGTTGAAAACTACACACACACACACACACACAAAAGCAGTTCCAACTACTCCCTATTCTTAAGAATCGAGGAAGGAACGCCACTGGGCGTTCTTAAGGTGGACAGCCCTCTTTGCACTGATAGCCTTGCCAAGGAAGACAATGTAGCCTTATTAGCACGATGCTGAAGGTACAGCCTGGAGAGCCGGGGGAGAGAGGGGAGGGTGAGGGTTTACTTTCTTAACGTCACCACATATATAATCTAGAGCCACTTAAAAACAGCTCCCCCTACACGTGTGCCCCGAAACCGAACACGGCGGTGGGGTAGCAAGAGGGAGGGCACTTTAACGCGTGCCCGCCCGGGACTCTCCGCGCTGTGCGGGCAGCAGCAGCCAGGCCACCTTCCTCCAATGTCCCACGGCCGCGGGGGGCAGCACTCGTCAGTTCCCTCGCGGGAGCCCTCCCGGGACATGGGGCCGGCCCTCTGGCAACCCCTCACCAGGCTCCCAGGCACTGCCCGGCCCCGCCCGCCCGCTCATGGCCTTGACAGTCCAGAGGAAGGCGGTGCTGTGCCGCCCGGCCAGGTTCGCGCCACCAGCCCACCCCCAGCACCTCGCAGCTCCGCTGCAGCCGAGCCGCGGTCTCCCTCACGGCTGCGGGAGGAGGATGGCGGGGCAGGGCGGCCGCCAGAGCTCGGCTCGGGATCCGGGAAGCTGCACAGGCACTTCCGTCCCGTCCTGCGGCGCCGCCTCCAGCCGCCAAGATGGCCGCGGGGCGGGGCCCCCAAGCTCCAACCATTTCCGCTTCCTGTGTGGACGCCGAGGCCGTTGGCGGGAGTGCTTCCCGGCGGAAGGACAGGGCCGGCGGAAACGCGCCGTGCTGCGCAGGCGCCTGAGTGTCCTCAGGCTCCGGGACCGGAAGCCGTCGCTGCAGAGGTTACGGTCGCCCAGACAGAGCCTGGGGCCACGCCCCGTGGCAACCGGAAGCCAATAGCAAGAGACTTTGTGGTTGCTCGGAAACCCTTGGCGGCAAGATGGCGGCGACCGGCGGTCGGACCGCGGCTTCGCCCCAGCTGAGCCGGCAGTCGCCGGGGCGGCCGCCGCGAGACGGTACGAGCTGCGTCTCCCCTCTGGAGGCTGGGTCGCTTAGGAGGGCGAGGCTGGTGCTTGAGGCCAAGCCAGGCATGAACCCTGTTCTCCAGACGGGCCCCGATGGCGTGCGGGTGTCCGGCAGGCGTGGAAAAGGCTGCAGGCTCGCCCGCGGCCAGCCTGCCCTGCGTGAGGAGGGGCGGGTAGAGCCGAGGTCGGGAATGGGCAGGGTGAACGCGCAAGGCCTGGGGATGCGGGTTGATGGGAAGGGAAATTGTCCTAAAACGGGAGAGACGGGGTCGATATGAAGGCAGCTCTCTGTCCATCCAGGGAGCTGAGAGGTGGGGGTTGGGTATGGTGTCTCAGAGCCGCATAATCAAGATGAGGCTAGCCAGGAGTCCTTAGGGGTAAGTGTGGAATTTTGGTCCCGCGGGGACGAGAGGACGGTGAAGGTCCTGGAAGGGTGAGCTCCTCTCCGCATCCTCACCAAGACTCCTCCTCTGCTTCTCCGTCCTCACCACCACCCAAGAGCCTGCGATCGGTTTTTGTCCGAGCCTCGTCTCGCCGGCCCTGCCTTACCCTTGGTGCCTGTCCATGTTGCAAAAACCAAGGAAAAGGGGGGGGGGGCGTGCCGACAATAAGCAGAACTGAGCCGCATACACCATGAGCAGTTAGTCAAGGTGAAGCCTGCTGTCGTGAGTTGGAAGGGTTGAGAGACTAGAAATGGCCTGCAGACGTCTGCAGACCCCTAGCAGCTCTCCACCCACCCACCCCCGCCCCATCTCTGTGTCTATTGATGTCTAACGGTCACTCCGTTTCTCCTTTCCATACGCAGGCTACGGCGTATACGTATACCCAAATTCTTTCTTCCGTTACGAAGGCGAGTGGAAGGGAGGAAAGTTACATGGTAAGAAGCTCCTGGCCATTCCAGAAGCCATAACCTTACAACTCAGAGCCAGTGTTCTGAGAAGCCTGGGCAGACAGGCAGAAACGCACCAAGCCCCGGAACAACAACACTTGTACCTGCACGCTGGTACCACTTTGCCGCAATCATGCAGGGACCAGTGTGAGACCGGTTCCTGCATGCTGGGAGCTCACCGTATGCTGGTGGGTGATGGAACTATTGGTGAGAGGGGGATAGAGTAGGGCAGTGGATCCAAGTCTCTGTCTCGTGTGTGTGTGTGTGTGTGTGTGTGTGTGTGTGTTATGTGGTGGAGGGTGTGCATGGGTGTGTTTCTCACACACGCCATCATGGCATGCTGGATGCTTGTTGTGGAACATCCAGGCTCCTAATCTTCAGCCTGAGTTTCTGTGTATTCCAAAAGAAATCAAGAAACAAAACAGGTAAACAAGGGAGAGAAAATTTCTGCTCTTCCCATCACGTCTGTGGCCATGGCAGCATTACAGTTTATAGAAAACCACCAGACAAAAGCCAGAAGATCTGTAGATTTTGCTGTGAGACATCGGATCTCTTGGTTCCTGGGGCAAAGCAACTGTGTACTCATCAGGCTTCTTCCTGTTACCTTTCTTTAGCATGGATGGTCTGTTATATGTTCCCAAGTTAAAGTTACATACAAGCAAGGCATTATGGTTTGTTTCTGTCATAAAAAAAATGACAAGATAGCAGTGGTACACACCTTTAAGCCCAGCACTCAGGAGACAGAGGCAGGTGTATCTCTGAGTTCCTGGCCAGCTTGGTCTACAGAGCTAGTTCCAAGACAGCCAGAGCTATACAAAGAAACCCTATTTCGAAAAGAAAAAAAAAAAAAAAGGAAAAATAAATAGCCAGCCGTTGGCCTTGTCTGCAGGGCAATTTACAGGACAGCCAGGACTATACAGAGAAAAACGAAAAAATGACCATATTTTTAGAAAACCTAAGCAATAGAGGAAAGAAGTATAAAATAAACATCCCCTGGAATGGCCCACACACATACCAGAAAAATGCTGGGTCTAGACTTTCTAGTGTCTGGACTTCCTGGATTTTTTTCAATTTGTTGATTCTGCTTACTTAGTGTACTAGAGAGGTTTTCATATCTACTGGCTACCAAAATGGTCTTCTCCTTTTTTTAAAAAATAATTTATTTATTTTCATTTTATTTGCACCAGTGTTTTGCCTGCATTTATATCTTGTGTGGGGTGTCAGACCCTGAAGTTACAGACAGTTGTGACCTGCCATGTGGGTGCTGGGAGTTGAACCTGGGTCCTCTGGAAGAGCAGTTAGTGCTCCTAACCACTGAGCCATGTCTCCAACCCCTTTTCTCTTTTATTTGTTTTGTTTTGTGTTTGTGTTTGTTTTGAGACACAATCTTGCTATATAGCTCAGGCTAGCCTTGAACCTGAAACCCTTTTGCCTCAGCCTCCCCAAATGTACCACTGCACCCAAACTCTACTACTAATGTTTTCCTGTGAAACCAGGGCCTGTACGTGTTAGACTGTGTCCTCAGCACCTTTCACCTTTTGTTGTGTTTTTATTAGACAGATGCTTTTTTTTTTTTTTTTGTCTTTGTTTTGATCTGATTTCTGTTTCTCAAGACAGGGTTTCTCTTTGTAGCCCTGGCTGTCCTGGAACTGGCTATATAGATTAGGCTGACCTCAAACTCATAGAGACCAATCTGCCTCTGCCTCCTGATTACTGGAATTAAAGGTGTGAGCTGCCACTGCCCGGCACACAGATGTTTCTTATTCTTGCACTACTGTCCCTGTAAGCAGGCACTAGCACTCATATTTAAAACTATTGTCAGAGCTACATGAAGAACACCCACTGTTTAAAAAATATTTTTATTTTATGTACATTGGTGTTTTCCTTGCATGTATGTCTGTGTGAGGGTTCCAGATTCCCTGGAACTGGAGTTACAGACAGTTTTGAGCTGTCGTGTGAGTGTTAGGAATTGAACCTGGGTTCTCTGGAAGAACAGCCAGTGTTCTTAACCACTGAGCCACCTCTCCAGCCATGAGCACCCACTTTTTTGTTGTTGGTGGTGGTGGTGGTTTTTTTGGTTTTTCAAGACAGGGTTTTTCTCTGTGGCTTTGGAGACTGTCCTGGAGCTAGCTCTAGTATACCAGCCTGGTCTCGAATTCACACAGATCTGCCTGCCTCTGTCTCCCAAGAGCTGGGACTAAAGCCGTGCGCCACCACCGCCCAGCTTGAGCACCCACTTTTAAGAAAGATGGCTCAGAAGTTATTGTTCTTGCAGAGGACCAGAGTTTGGATCCCAGCACCTACATTTCAGTAGCTTGTAACAGCCCATAACTCTGGTTCCAGGGGACCTGACACCCATTTCCAGTCTCCATGGGCACACTTGTGCATGGGCACATGTGTGTACGGTCCTGTTTCCTCATGTGAATAGAGGCAGGGTCTCATTTGCACAGTTCATGCCTCTGTGGTCATCGCAACTGAGGAGCTGGCATGCAGGAATGTTTCGGTGGGTTGTTTTGTTTGTAGGAGTTTCCACTGTGTTGCCCAGGTTGGCTCAGACTCCTGAGTAGCTAGATTACAGACACACACCACCATAGCAACTGAGGTTTTCACTCTGGAAAAAAAAAACAAGCCCAACCAGCATGGGTTGGTCTGCAGTCACTCCCACTCACCACCTGACTGCACATTGATTTCTCTTACCAGGTCATGGGAAGCTATTGCTTAAAGATGGAAGTTATTATGAAGGTGAATTTGTGGATGGAGAAATCACTGGAGAAGGCTACCAACACTGGGCCTGGTCAGGTTAGCATTGGGCATAGGTGGGCTATTGACTGTGTTCCCATAAACTCTGCAAGAGTTTATGGACACACAAAATGCTGTGTGTAAACAGGGGACCTCAGGTTCTACAAATGAGAAAATAACAGCGTGCAGGCTAGGGCAAGGCAGTGTGAGGCCCAGAACTTAGATGACCTCTATGCCCGTGAAAGGCCTAGCCTAGTGAAAAGATGTCCTGGGGTCTCCTAGTTGAGGCTCTGAGCACTTACCTCTATAGACAACTTGTTCTTCTCCTTAACACCTAGTTGAAATAAAGGTTTATCATCCGAAAACTACAGTTTTGTTTTCTCTGCATTAAAGATATTTTTGGCCAGACATGGTGACAAATACCTTTAATACCAACACTCATATTTTAGTCATGCTTTATGTATCCTTGGATGGGCAAACTGCTCCATGGTTTGCACACCAGTGACCAGGGGTATTTCCGGGAGTTTTAGGCCTCACAGTAAGCAGGTTGCTGGTGCTCAGCTCAGGGGAGCTTTTCTTTTGGGCTCAGCATTCAGTTGTTGGTTTGTTTTGTTTTCTGAGACGGTGTTTCTCTGTAGCTTTGGAGCCTGTCCTGGAGCTCTCGCTCTGCAGACCGAGCTGTCCTGGAGCTCACTGTGTAGACTGGGCTGGCCTCTCATTCAGTTGCTGTTAAAGAGCTGGGAAAGAAAGCTCATCCTTCACTGTGCCACAGGGAGGGTTTCAGGACGGACTGCCATCCCAGCCAGGACAGGAAACACTAGTCTACTGCACTGTCTCCTTCCTCCCTCACAGTCCACACCAAAGACTAAGACCAAGAGACAGACACCAGCCAGATGTTGTAGCCCACACCTTTAATCCCAGCACTCAGAAGGCAAAGGCAGACTGTTTTACACATAGAGACAGAGACCTCCATTTGAAAAAGGCGCCTCAAGCCAGGCGGTGGTGGTGCACACCTTTCATCCCAACATTTGGGAGGCAGAGGCAGGCAGATTTTTGAGCTGGAGGCCAACCTGGTCTACTGATTGAGCTCCATGACAGCCAGGGTTACACAGAGAAACCCTGTCTCAAAAAAACTTAAAAAAAAAAAAAAAGAAGGAAAGAAAAGAAAATGGCGTCTCCACTGCCATTCGTTCAGGCTCAGCCAAGAAACAGAAAACAGCCTGATTCTTCCCTCTTGTCTACACCAGGAAACACCTACTCTGGACAGTTCGTTTTAGGAGAGCCTCAAGGACATGGCGTCATGAAGTACAAAGCCGGAGGTTACTATGAAGGGGAGTTCTTCCGAGGTCTCAGGGAAGGTCTGGTGCCCAGGGGCTTGGGGGCCTACGTGTGCTCAGGCGGCAAAGCCACTAGCATAGCCTGTCTGAATTTAGAGCTGGAGAAAGGCAGGAATTGGCACCCCCCCCCCTTTCTGCCCACAGCGCAGTTCAGCCAGTCAGGGCCTATGTACAGGAAGCAGCTGCTTAGCATGTCCTGGGACACACGTGTCATACTTGAGCTGTACCATCCACCACTTACAGGTTAAAACAGTACACAGTCGTTTAATGGTAATCATGGCACCTCCGGGTTGGCCAGACCCACTCTCCCAAGGTCCCCATGACCCTGGAACTCTCAGGTCCCCCTAGGGCCTGAGTCTTTCACTTCCCCTGTGGTCTGCAAGCCAAAGAGGATAAGAGGCATATTGAAGGGGTGCCTGTGCCTTTGGGCACTGTAAAAAATGCCCTGCCTTTGCTGTAGACCATACCCTGTAAATGAACCTAGCAGGTTCTATTGTGGATGGATGTACAGGGACTTCCTTTTCCTTCTCCAGGTTTGCTGGAGTTAGGGATCAGAGATACCCTTTAGTTTGTGAATTATCTAGAGCCTGAGAGTATTGACATTTAACCAGGCCACATCTTCATTCACATTTCCCTGCCCTATGAAGTTGACAAACCTTGCAGGGGAACTCGGGCAGAGCACTCCTGTGCTTACCATGTACAGTCTTAATTCCGAGACATAAAAACACACATGCAGGTGGACTTTTAATCATGCATCTCGTCTGCCCACCAAAATAACAGAGGTGGTTTTGGGGGACCTTCTGTGGAACCCCATTCAGAACCTGTAACAGCTAGTCTGAACCAATTTTATCAGCCCTGCTGACCTAGGCAGCGGCACTGTTTGTCCCTGAATGCATCTACCATTCTTGTTTGAATAGGCTTAATCAACAGGCCTAGGAGGCAGCCTGGTCTCTAGAGTAGACCCTGGTACCTTCTAAGTTCATCTTCCTCCCAGAATTGGATGCAGGCAGAGCTCTAGGAGAAGGGTCGTCACGAGCAAGAGGTGTGGAGTGAAGCTGGTATATTCTGGTTCCTTCACTAGGACAGGGGTTTCTGGAGGACCAGGATGGGCAGGTGTACCAGGGTTCCTTCCATGACAACAAGAGACATGGCCGTGGGCAGATGATCTTTAAGTGAGTATGGGTCTTGGAGGTGTAAGCTGGTACTTGGTAACAGGAGTGGTTCCCCATAGCCCCTAGAATGCTGATGGCCATGGGGTCTGCATAGGTTGATTCTATAGAAATGCTAACCGGTACCCAGGCCTTAAATATATTCTGAGCCTTTGCTGTTTCTCTCTGTGTCTCTGTCTTTATGTGTGTCCATGTCTCTGTCTCTGCCTCTTCCAACACTTTTTTAATCCTAGCACCTTTGTGTCAGGCTGGTACAAGGGTGGACCCCAGGGACCTGGGTTTGGGTAAGGACATTGGCCAGCAGTGCCACTATCTTTCAGGCAGAGGGTTAGAGACCTTAAGCTTGTGTTCGGATTCCTGGCTGGATGATTGCCCCACACCTAGCCCTCGAAACAGGCAGAGTCACCTCTCCCTTTTCCTTTTCTCTGTCATTTCCCACTTGAGTAGCAGAAGCCAAACACGTCCTGCGCAGGGCCCAGCATGTTCTGGAAAGTGGGTCCTGCCATGGGGGAGTGGGGGTGCATTCAGACATGTCCCCGCCTGCCACCAGCCCTCCTGAGCCAGCGCTGGCAAGGCAGGAGCTCACAGACCATCTGTTCGGGGCCTATTTTTTGCCTTGGCCCCGGTGCGCTTGCTGTGCCTGGTCAGAGGAGTCGGCCTGAGTCACTGCAACCACCTGGTTCCCAGCTGAGGTCCCTGTACTGTGCCCTCAGGAACGGTGACAAGTACGAAGGAGACTGGGTTCGAAACCAGCGTCAGGGACACGGGGTGCTGTGCTGTGCTGACGGCTCCACCTATGAGGTACTGCACTTACTGCCATGGGGGAAAGGTGGGAGGCCATTAAGGGACTGGGGAATCTTGGTGTTTGCCCGTATTTCATCTGGCAATGCCTTGGAGGTAACGGACTCACATTCAACTCGAATCCCCACACCCACCCTGGAGGCTGGCTTCTCTTCTGCTCGTTAAGCCCTCACGAGAAGCGAACCCTGTGCTGAACCCTGTGCTGTGCTGTAAGTCAGGTTGACAAGGAAGACTGAGGTCCGTGTACATGCTTGCTCCTGTCCCCATGGGAGGTATGAGATACTGTGGGTTTTGTGGGTAGGAGACATGACTAACACTAGTGCTATTGCTGAGAAATGTGAAGTTATTGGCCAGGAAAACTGGCATGCTTCCAGGAGGGGCACAAAAAGAAACACGGATTACAGTGCAGGGAGGTCCCGAGACGGGGCTGGGCTGGCTCCACCATCCCTGCACTGACTGCACCCCAACTCCTAGCAGCAGGAAGCAGGAGATCAAGGCCCCTGGAATCAGTTGTTGCAGGTGAGGCCCTGGTGGCATCCAAGGCTGAAAGTCCAAGTGCTGTTGCTTGCTGTGATGGTGACATAAGTTCTGCTGGGGGTTTCCAGCAGGAAGGAAGGACAGGTTTAGGCCTCCAGACTCCAGAGTGTCGGAGCTGCCTCAGCTACTTGGTTTCTTGTTGCATCACAATAACCGGGATGGTGTGATTCACATTTTTTCCAGATTTCTCAAATGGCAGTTAGAGTAACAACTAGAAGGAACAGCCCAGCCCAGTTCATGCAAATTTGGGAAGGGTAGCCACGGGTCTGCTGGGACTCCTACTGCAGATTGCCCAGATGCAGAACACTCAGAGTGGTCCCTGCTGACTCCTGTAGGCCTTTGGCCCCAGGGAACAAAACCCCTGCCACCACAGAGCCTGCGGTTCCCTCTGCTGACTGCTGGCATTGTGCCCAATGGCTAGGGAAAAATGTTTAGGGCCTGGCTCCCTGATGGCAGCGGAGTGGCTTAGGGCAGCTCCCAGAGCCGTGGAGCCACAGAAAGCCCAGCATGGATGCCCATACCTGTTTATAGAACAGAAGAGTTCTGCTTGGGTAGTTCTCCCCATGCCTCAGTCGGGTTCCTATTGCTGTGGTGTAAAAAAAAAAAAAAAAAAAAAAAAAACACCATGTGCAAAAGCAGCTGGGGAAGGAAAGGGTGTGTTGCATATTTCGCCCGCTGGTAATATTCCATCCCTGAAGGAAGTCAGGGTCGGGACCAAGGCAGGAACCTAGAGGCAGGACCCGAAGCAAAGGCCATAAAGGAGCACTGCTGTTCCCCCAAGGCTTGCTCAGCCTTCTTGTAGCACCCAGGACCACCAGCCCAGGAGTGGTCCTGCACACAGTAATCTGGGCCCTCCCACGCCAGTCATCAAGGAAACGCCCTACAGACTTGTCTTCAGGCTAGTCCTATGGCCACATCTTCTCAGTTAAGGCTCCCTCTTCTCAGATGAGTCTGTCTTATGTCAGGTTGACATAAAGGCTAGCCAGCAGAACTAGTCTTGCCAGGGCTGTTGGAATCTGTGTGGACATCGCTGGTGCCCTGCTGACCTAGAAGTTGCCCCGGTCTGTCTCTGAGACAGTACACGTCACTGTATGTACTATTGTGACCAGCCACCAGTGTGTCCAGAGCAGGGCCAAATCACATTGCAGTAGCAAGAATGCAAGGTGACGAGGGCCCAAAGGAGTCACTTCTCTCCTGCCTGTCCTGTGCCCCGGCTTGCGGGTTTGCATAAACTGTCCCCACATCTCTGAAGGGACATTTTATAAATGCGGGACCTGGGATCCAGACTTGTTTTTCCCAATCCACACACCTGATCCTTCCTTCCCTGGAGTTTGGGAAAGGTCTTGCCCCACCGGGTCCCTCCAGAACTCATCCCGCTGCTCAGGGACAGTGGATGAGCTGCCTGCTGACAGCCCGGAAAGGTACCTTCACACCACCACCTGGACAGAAGCAAGGGGAGTCTTTGAGGTCCCCCCTCCAGTCCTGTTCCCAAAGGCAGTTCTGTCCCACAAGTACTCAGACCTTCAGCAGAGCTCCACTGTTGGCCATGACCACCTCCCTGCTGGCCACTGACCGTTGGTGGCTAGGATCTGTGGGGCCCTGCCCAGGCCTTCCTTTTCTGAAACCTGAAATTTGCAGCATAGCCAAGAAGAGACAGAACTATGGATGTCTGACTTTTACTGCCAACAGCCTTCAGTGTGTCCACCAGGGGGCAGTCCAGATCTGCTCACCGGCAGCAGGCCCCAACCTTGGGTCCTTGTTCCAAGTTTGGGTGGTAATGCCCTGGGCCCTAAGGCAAGCAGCAGAGGGGCCTAAATGCCTAAACATCGAGACTGCCACACAGGCTAAAACTGTTCAAATTGCCGAGTTTTTCCTCCCAGGGCCAGAACCTTGAACTCCACAGAATTCTTCACAAAGGCTTCCTCTCTCAGCATAATCCTCAGCCCTCCCCATCCCCACCCCCACCCCCAGCACCCTGTGGCTGGTCAGCAGGAGACCTGGGCAGTTTTCAGGGGAAGGGACTTACAGGTTTCCAACTCCAACAAGCAGGCTGCACCAAAAAGCAACAGCGTGGGCTAAAGCGACCACAGTCCAGTCCTCAGAAGTGACCAGAGTCTTCACATCTGGACACACAGGCCCTAAATTCCACGTCCCCCAGTGACTCTCTTACAGCGGCCTTGGTAAGGCCAGAGAGGAGCGCCTTCGTCAAGGATCTTGTGAGCAGTGAACAGAAAAGGGCACCCAAGGCCAAAAGGAAAAGTGAGCACTATCGAAAGCCGTCTGGAAATCAGAGCTCAGATACCATGGACACTGACGACCAACGGCCAGCCGGAGACAGCTTTTACTGACCTGCACTTCTGCGGCAGCAAGAGGTTTCACTTGCTGCCCTAGTAACAAAAGCTAATTACCCAGTCTGTCACTCAGTCCTCCCTCATTAGCCAAGAGAGGCAGCGGGTTTCCTCAGGCTCTCTGGCTCAGCTGATGACCATTTCTACACCCATCTCTCCCACACAAGGGGTCACCATCTGCATGTAGTGGAGTGCAGACACATCACCTGAGGGGGCCCATGAGGTGGGGAGGAATCATGAGACTTGCTTCCCACAGGCACCACTGTCCTTTATGTTGTCACTAGTCAAACACGTAGACTTCTCTTAAACACACAGACACAAATAGGAAACCACCTTGTCCATTTGTAACTGTCCAGTTCAGTAGCAGCAAATGTTTAAATTTTTTTTTTGAGACAGGGTTTCTTTGTGTAGCTTTGGAGCCTTTCCTGGATCCCTCTCTGTAGACCAGGCTGGCCTCAGACTCGCAGAGATCCACCTGCCTCTGCCTCTGCCTCCTGAGTGCTGGGATTAAAAGCATTGCACCATCACTGCCAGGCTAAACGCTTACATCATTGTGTGGCCATTACCACTGTCTGTTCACAAATACATCTATGTAAACAGACTCTAACCTGGTAAATCCACACTCCCCATTCCCCCGGAGCCCCTGGCACCCACCTTTCTTCTCTCAGTCTGACTCCTCTGGGGACCTCTTACATGGGCTCGTCCTTTTTAGTGACTGGGATTTCTCACGGAAGCATGTGCAGGGGCCTCCTTTTGAAGGCCAAGTGGCCCGTGTGTGTACATGTTCGGTTCCCCATGCTCCTTCATTTCAGTGGACACTTGAACTGCTCCCTCTCTGCTTTGAGCATTCGTGTACAAGCCTTTAGGTATATAGACCTGCCAGATTTTTCCACCGCGGTTGTACCATTTGAAGGTCCCCAACAGGGAAACCAATAGAGGTTTCCATTTATGCATTTCTTAGTGTCCATCAGAGTTCCCCCTTAGCCATCTATAACATTAGCCAGCATTCCCATCTCGTAGGAAAGAAGTCCAGACCCTGAGCAGATGTTCTAGGAGAAATCTGCCGTTTCTAAAGGCAAGCTTGGGTCTAGAGACTCCCAGGCAGCTGGCGTAGCAGTAGCAGTCATGGTAACTTGATTCCATCCATGTCTTTGGTGGGAGCCTCTCTCACAGCATGGACGTGTATGTCACCTAAAGCTCTGGCTTCCTGAAAACCAACATTTCCCAGGTTGGTTTCCCCAGGGGGCAACCTGCTGTTTGGCACACCTGTGCACACATGAAACAGGTGGCTAGCCTTATGGGCGTCTTCATCTGCTGCAGCAGTTCCCAGCTTCCCCATTTCCTGGCATGTCTAGAGTCCCCGGGGCCTCTTCATCTGCATGTCACCAGATGTGGCTACTCCCCCCCTCTCCCCCCCCCCCGTATCACTTGCCTGCCTGCCTTGGGACAAGAAGGTCCAGTTCAGAATGGAAAGACCATTGACCCAGTTATGTCTCTACCACTGAAGATCCCTGAGAATGTGGAGCACTTGTGTCCAGTGGTAGCCCTTCAAGAACTCAGATGCGCCCCACGATGGTCCCCTCCTGGAACCATCACAGCAACAGTTAATGCTGCATCAGTGCCAGCATGTCCACGTCCCTGCAAAAATTTCCACTCCATATCCTGAAATCCTAGGAAGTCTAGACCAGTCAAATCCAACATGCAGGCCTGCTGTTACTGGACTGCAAGTGAAGCCACCTGCCATCTCTGTAAGCTGGAAACCAAGCTCTGTAACAGTCACAACCCAGGAGGAGAGCCCAGCCAACCCCTCACAGGTGACATCACCCAAGGAGACCAGAAGTCCCAAGGTTTAGCAGCAATCAGTGCTAATTGCCTCCTCCATACCACAGCATCATAGAGGCCAACTCAAAAAAAGGGGGGAGGGGTCTGGAGCTTATTGGTCACCCCAGGAAGGATGGACTTATGCCCAGGATGGTCTTGCACCCAAATCCACATCTATGGTATGGCTACTATAGAACCACTTCTAATAAAAGTATAGGAAGAGAGACAGCATGGGTTAACTGGAAAACGTTTCCCACAATGAGTGGGGCCAAGGTTTTTTTTTTCCTGCAGTTTGTTAAACTTAGTGTGCTCACTGTCATAAATGTGGCCTGCAGCTGTGGCAGAACAGGGCAGGAATGGGGCTGAGCTCCACTCTCTGGGGTCACTGTAGCAGTCAGAGAGCAGGAGTCTGCTGTACTCATCCTGGGCACTGGCGCCCTGTCTGCTGTGTGCTTGCTTGGTTTGGGGTGCAAGTCTGAGCCCTACACGACCTCTCTGGCTGGCTCCGTCATCGTCACCCCTCTTCTTTCACACACAGCCACCCTTTCCTGCATGTCAGGCAACAGCTGGGCAGAAAGGAGAAGAACAGGTGTCTCCAGCACCCTGGAGCTTTGTGGCGGTAGTATGGTTCCCTGTTCCGCCTCCCCGTGGCTGAGACTTGCAGACTGACTCCACAGACTGATTGCCTGGGCAGCCCTCAAGCCTCTCTGGACACTCACAGAGGGGAAGGCCCAACTGGGAGCTAGCTGGCAGTTCCGGGGCTCTTGGCTCTCAAGTCCAGACTGGTAGCTCTCCAACTGCCTCCTTGGGCTGCTTCGCAGGGACACCAGGGAAGGAAGGGCGGTGTTATCTACAGGAGCTTGCCCGACACTCCAGGAATTGTTTTAATAACATGTGCCTGTTCATGACCTGGGTGCAAATGTCCAATATCAAATTTATAATATCATTCGGGCAAGCCCACAGGCTAGTGTCTTTAGTCTCTTGTACACATCTGTAGCATCCATACGCAGACCTGGAGCCAGGAACACCACACTTCCACTCTTACCATATGGGCTCTGATTGTAGCATGCAGCCCACTGGCCACTCACCTCAGGGCCTGTGGCAAATGTTACGGTTGGTGAGCACTGTTAACTGACCTGGGGATGCCAGGGCGCGGCTGGCTGTGACACTTCTGTGGCAGAGGAGTGCCGCCCACAGCTCTTGACCCACCACTGCCCAGGCCGTTGGCCCCGCCTGCGGGCACCTCCACATCACTGTGTCTGTCATCGCTGGTGCCTAGGCGCCTGTTTCTGGCCACATCCCTGCATGGCAACCACCCTGTGAGCAGGCACCTTGGCCACATGCCCTGACCTGCCCATGGCCTGTCACCCTTCTTTCCTCAAAGCCCACGCTGGCACCTTCCAGAAAGCGGAAGTGGGCACAGTGAGCTAAGAGAGAAGAAAAACTACTTACTGTTCCTTGTCCTATAGCTCAGAGCCTAGGACATCAGCCAGAGCCAAGGTGCCCCTCCTGTAGTATCCACTCAGAGCGTTTGTCACTAGCCATCTGTGCGTTACAGTCACCCTTGAGAGAATTGGGACAGGAAGGAAAAAGGCTGGATACAGTGAGGACAGCAGTCACAGGAGGGTGTGGGAAAGCTTCTCACGAGAAGCCAGGAAACCAAAGACTGTCCTGCTGGGTGGGACACTGAATTCCCATGATAGAGAAGGTCGGGCCAAGGGAGGACCCTGTGCCGTGTGTGAGTCACCTCCCAGGCTTCCAAGCAAGGCACCCAAGGCTCACCGTACCCGGTGCAGCCTGTGATCTCCAGAGCCAGCCTGATGTCTCCCCTCCTAACCCCGGCGCACCCACACGTGGGATGACGAGAGAGAACAGCCATGGTCCGCACAGGCAGTAACCTGCCCAGTGCGAAGTGAACAGTCTTCATCGCATACGACTTCACAGCATGGGACCAAGTAAAAGGATAGGGTGAATGACACCTGCTGGGATGGGACACTGTCAGCTGAGCCCACCATCAACCACTCCAGGAATGCAGCTGGTGTGTAGTCTATTTCAGGACTGGAGGAATGGAGCCACCCCAGGCACCTGGGAGCCTCGCTCAGGGGTAACTCTCAGGATGAAGGCCCATCCACATCCCAGAGAGGGCTTGCCTTGTTACCTAGGTGAACAACCAGGCCCCTGCCCACATGTCCCACAGCCGGCCACTGGCCTCTCCTGAACTGAGAGGGGCCCCTAGAGCTTCTGGCTGTGAACGTGGCCTAAGCGGTATGAGATTTTCAGGGCCAGCATCTGTGAGCACTTCCTCTCCTCTCCCCACCTAGCTGGAGGCCCCTCTGCACGCATCTCCTGAGATCCAGCTCCTCTTCCCGTGCTGCCTGTGCTCCCAGCAGCCCATGGAAAGCTTTCTCTCACGTTCTCGGGACTCTGACCCTAAGGCTTCTCACCATCTCCTCGCCATAGCCTCTCAGCGCCTCTAGGCCTGAGTGAACACTTCCCTTCTCTGTCTGCATTCTCAGACACTGGTCAGTGTTCCTGTCCAATCAGTGACCTTGTGGCCCAGGAGCCCAGGCTGCGTGTAGAGGGGTTCCAGGAACAGAGGAGGGCAGCTGATGCCCAATTAACTTTTACAGAAGAATGACTCAAACCAAGCCTGTTGTTGGTTGATTTTCCCCAATACAAGTCATTCATAACCAAATACCATTCTGATCTTAGAATTTTTTCTACGGAAGTAATCCTCCTGCTGTTTCACACAATTGCTTGGGAATCCAGGTGTACTATAGAGAAGGCCAGTGGGGCGTGGAGAGTGGCACCCCACCCCCACCCCGAGGTGTGCCTGTGCTCAAGTTGAGTGTTTTAATTGCCTTTTCATTTAAAAGCTCCGGGCATCAGAACAACCCACCTTGGTCCTGGCCCCATTGTAGTCACAGGTTCAGGTCTCCTCATGATCAACTAAGTGCCATATCTTTGTATTAGGCCTTTTGTGCTGAAAGTGTGCCTGTTCAGTGGTATTTTGTTTGCATGGTGTATGCTGTGCCTTTGTTCCCCTCTTTGGCGTCATTAAAATTCAAGGGAGAACACTTAGCAAAGCAAATTGGATCCCTCCTAACGAAACGCAGCAGCCTCACTGCCAAAGGAAAGGATGCATTCACCTCACAGCCCTGGACGTCCCTACAATGAAAGGGTCCCAGGACTCCTTGGAGCCACCCTCTAAGGCCACCTTATTCTCTCTGCAGGGACAGTGGCACAGCGATGTCTTCAGTGGGCTGGGCAGCTTTGCCCACTGCTCGGGAGTCACTTACTGTGGAATGTTTATCAATGGCCACCCAGCAGGTAGGTGTTCCCAGCCTTTCCCTACTGTCCCTGTGGAGTCTGCTGTGGATTGTGTTTGAGCCTCATCGTACCTCAGGTGGCCCTGGGCAGCAGCCGCATGGGAAGTGTTGGGCCAAGCTGGGATGGAGCGAATGAAACATAAAATCCAATCCTTTTTCAGGAAAAGCATATTCTGCTTGATTTCAAGAGGGCTTATGGCTATGCAGACCCAAGGGGTTCTGCTCCAAGCAGGTCCTCCCACCTATGGCTCTCCCAGCTACAGCCCCACCACAGGCTCCCCCAAGCCACAGTACCTCTCAGTCACAGAGACCTCCTAGACATCTGGCCTTTAGCCACAGGACTTTGGAGTTACTTGGTCAAACCTCACCTGAAACCCCATCTCCCGCCCTCTGCCCCCCTCCCCCACCCTGTGTGGCCTCCATCAGTTTCTCTTGAGACCTCTACACTCTGACACAACTGCAGAGTGACCCATGTCTACCTTGGCTTGGTACCTTCCTGGTCATCCTTTGCCGCTGCTAGCGGCCTCTCCTGAGACTTAGGACAGAGATGCCATCCCAGGGTTGGGCCTATGCCTAACAGGTGCTGGGGGCCTCAGGCCCCAGCAGCCTCACCTTGGTGAGACCCTCTAACGGGATGAGAAAGGGCCGGAGCCCTTTGGGTGCAGCTGTTATAAACACTAAAGCCCTATTCTGCCCCCAGCACAGGCTAAGAAAATTGTGGTTCTGGGACCAGAGGTACTGGAAGTGTTCCAAGGCTCTCCCTTCACACTGAATGTGCAGCTGCAGCAAGACGATGGGGAAGTTGCCACAAGTAAGTGTCTTCAAGGGCGGTGGCCCTACTCTTCCAGAAGAAATGGGCTGCAGGCTCTTAAGTAGAGCAAAACTGGGTAAGGTGTTGGGTTGATCCTGAGATAACACTTGTACTCATGTACACACAGACACACAAATATACACATAATTAGAAAGAAAATCTTTAGTGTGTGTATTAAGTTGGCTTAGCAACTTAATTAAGGTATGGTTTACATACCATTAATTTCAGTAGTAGTAAATGATTCCACGATCTCTTTTTTTTTTTTAATGATATGTGTGTGTGTTGTGTGTCTCAGTGTATGTGCACATGCATGCAGGTGCCCACAGAGGCCAGAAGAGGGTATCAGAACCCTTGAAACTGACCAGGCTGGCCTCGAACTCAATACGTAGCTGAGGCAGGCCTTCAACTATCCTCTTGTTTCCTCCCAAGAGCTGAGATTACAGGCATCATGCCAGCTAGAGTCCGTGATCTCCTGCAGACATGGGCGGCTGCCACCATCGCATCACATGACCTCTCAGAACACTTCCAGACCTCTAGAAAGATCCTTTGATCCTGTTTCCAGTCTTGTGCCCATTCCAGGCCCCAATCCACTTCCTGTCTCTATAGACTTGGCTGTTGAACATTTCCTGCAAGCGAAGTCAGACCATACGAGGTCTTTGCTTGCTTCCCGTCTGCATGGTGTTCAGGGATGCCTCTGTGTTACAGTGTATACTGGCCCCATCCTCCATACTGATCAGCAGCATCCTGTTGCCCATACAGGACACATTGATTGCCTTACATTCGGGCTAATGCTAGGGACATTGTCGCTGTGAATACCACACAGGGTTTTGTACACACAGATTTTAATTTCTCTGTGTGTACATGCATGTTGCATTGCAACATCATATGGTCAATATATTTAAATTTTGGGTTTGTTTGGTTTTGGTTTTGGTTTTGGTTTTCAAGACAGGATTTCTCTGTGTAGCTCTAGAGTCCTGGAACTCTCTCTGTAGACCAGGCTAGCCTTGAACTCAGAGATTCACCTGCCTCTGCCTCCTGAGTGCTGGGATTAAAGGCATGTGTCACCACCACCCAGCTAAGATCTTTAACTTTTTCTTAATCCTCCTGCCTCAGCCTCCTAAATAGTGGAATTATCAGCCTCTGCAACCAGGCCCAGCTTGTCATTAAGATTTCTAAAGCCAGAGAGATCATTTTCTATCTAGAACAGAGAGACAGCTGTCAAGTTCTCTAGATAATTGGGATGTTCTGTTTGTGGTGTCCCAGACAGGAGCTGATGCCCACATGTTGTTCCTGAGCTCTTAATGTGGGAGAACAGTGACAGAAGAGTTCTTTCTCTGGTTCATTTTAATCGGTTTACTATTCATTTATTTTGGTTTTTTTTGTTTTGTTTTGTTTTTTTATTCTCTATGTAGTCCTGGCTGACCTTGAACTCAGAGATCCTCCTGTCTCTGCCTCTGCCTCTGCCTCTGCCTCCCAAGTGCTGTAATTAAAGGTGTGCACCACCATTGGCTGGCTTACATTAGCTCGTACATTTAGTCTATGACCTATCTGTAGAATAGGGGTCTTTTGCATGTTGCTATCTAGTTGTCCCAGTACCCATTTGTTAAAGATTTTTCTTTCCCCAATAAATTATCTTGGGATTTAATTTGCTACAATTTTAAAAATAATTTTTCCTCTATATGAAGGATATTGGTCTAAGACTTTTCTTTTTTCCTTTTTTTGTTTGTTTGTTTGTTTGTTTGTTTTAATTTTTCCAAGACCAGATCTCTCTGTGTAACAGTCCTGGCTATCCTGGAACTTACTTTGTAGACCAGGCTGGCCTCGAGCTCACAGAGATCTACCCTGCCTCTATTTCCAAGTGCTGGGAATAAAGGCTTGGGCTACCGTGCCTGGTTTTATCTGGCATTTTTATCTTCTCCTCACACTTTGGTTCTTAGAAGAATTTGTGTTGGATTGATACATTTTATTTTAAATTCAGGGCTTCAAGCACCCTAGGTAATTATTCTACCAGCTGAGCGACAACCCCAGGCCTTTTGATTTTTGTTTGTTTGCTTGCTTGGTTGTTTTCCTTTGGGGGGGGGTGTTGCCTGTCTGTGTGTGTAGGGTCTTCAGAGGTCAGAAGAGGCATCAGATCCCTTGGGACTAAAGTTACAGACAGTTGTGAGCTGCCAGGTGGGTGCTGGAAAAACACAGCCAGGTCTCCCGGAAGAGCATCCAGTGCTCTTAACTTCCGAGCCATCTTTCCAGTCCCTGTAATTTCCTTTTTTTTTTTTTTTTTTGGTTTTTCGAGACAGGGTTTCTCTGTACTGTTCTGGAGGCTGTCCTGGAACTCGTGCTGTAGACCAGGCTGGCCTCGAACTCACAGAAATCCGCCTGCCTCTGCCTCCCGAGTGCTGGGATTAAAAGCATGTGCCACCAACGCCCAGCTTGTAATTTCCTTTTTTATGCTGTTATACATGTGGATTTTACTTTTTTAATTTTCAACATTTATTTCTATTTCTCTATTGATCATATATGTTCATTACTTGAATTATTCATTCTCATAATTTTTCTGAAGATTCCTTAAGACTTCCTACTTACGTAGACATGTTATCTGCAGATAAGTTGAATTTTACATCTTCCTTTTCAGTCTCAGTGTGCTGTTTTCCTCTCAGTTGTCTTTTTTTACATTTTCCACGAGCAGTGAGATAGGTTCTAGCTATTCCACATTGTCTCCAACACTTGTTATTTTCATTTTTTATATAGCCACCTTTGTGGGCATGTATTGGTCAAGATAGGCTTTCTCTAAGAGAAACTGTCCTGGAACTCAATCTGTAGACTGTTCTGGCATCAAACTCACAGAGATGGACCTACCTCTGCCTCCCAAATGCTGGGATTAAAGGTTTGCTCCACCACCACCTGGTAATGGAAACTCTTATAAAGGAAAGCATTTAATTGGGACTGGCTTACAAGTCAGAGCTTTTAGTCCATTGTTGTCATGGCAGGCAGACATGGTTGGTGGTCAAGAGTAGCTGAGAGTTCTACAACCCAGTTCACAGGCAACAGGCAGAGAGAGCCACTAGGCTTGGCTTGGGCATTTGAAACCCCAGTGACACTCTTCAACAACATCCTAACACCACTCCCTAAGCATTCAAATATGAGTCTGTGGGGGCCATTCCTATTCAAACCACCACATGGGGTCACTGGGGATTCATAACTGTGTAGCTCAGGATAGACTAAGAGTCTCTATCCTCCTACCTCAGCCTTTCGAGTCTTGGGCTACAGTTGTATTTGATCATTCCAGCCAGTCCCCTTTTTAACTGATACACTTCTTCCATTTGTATTTATCATTTTTTTGTTTGTTTCAGTTTTGGGGGTTTTTTTTGTTTTTGGTTTTGTTTTGTTTTGTTTTGTTTTTTTAGTTTCTCTGTGTAACCACCCTGGCTATCCTGGAACTCACTCTGTAGACCTCAGAGATGCGCCTGCCTCTGCCTCCCAGGTGCTAGGATTAAAGGCGTGAGTCACCACCACCGCCCAGCCCCACTTAGCATAATTATTAATATGGTAGATGCGCCTCTCCCTGGAGCTCCCCCGGCCCGTTTGTCCCAGCAGTTTCCCTTCGTCAGGGTGGGCAGCAAGCAAGCACCTTTACCTGTTGAACCATCCTGCCTACCCCTTTCCACATTAGTTATAATTCTCATTATCTCTCTCCCGGTTTTCCTACCCTCCTAGAGATCAGTGTCTCCATCTAGTGTCACCTTCCCATGGCCTTAACAGCTCCTGTAACGACGGCCGACTATCCCTGTCTGGGAGCATCTTGATTTACTTCCCCTTTGAGGGATGCTTCGAGGTGTCCCCCCCTCCCCAGCTGTAGGATGCTGGTTCTCCCTCAGGGTTACGGAATTGCTGCTCCGTCTTCTTGTCCAGTTGCACTGAGCTGCTTGCATCCATGGACTTCCAGTCTCATCACATGAGGAAGATGTTCGGCTATCATTTCTCCCAGAAGCTTCTCTATCACTCTCTTCGTTTCTCATGTGCGAGACTGCCGGAAATCGTCACACTGTGTGCAGAGTCCCTCCCTCCTCCTCTTTTTCCTTTTCCTTTTTTTTTTGTTTTTTGTTTTTTGTTTTTCCTGTGCTTGAATTTTTTCAATTTTTTTGGATGACTTCTCTAGCTATATTTTTAGGCTCATAAATCTTTCCTTCTGCATCAGTTAATTTGTTGTGGATCACGTCCAGTGTACTTTTACAGAATCTCTCCATGCTTCCCTGACTGGCCTGGAGCTCAGTATGCACATTAGGCTGGCCTTGATCTCACAGCAGATCCTCCTCTTGAGTGCTAGGATCACAAACAGGAGCTACCAATGCCCAACAAACAGCACTGTGGTTTTCATTTCTTGCTCTTCTCTTACCTCCTGTGTCTCCACTCTGCTGATGAGCATAAGAACACAGTTACAGTACCTGGTCCCCCACTGCTCTAAGTGCTGGGGTTACAGCCTGGATTGTAATAAATTTGTCCCCAACTGTTAATTCTAGCACCCAGGTCATTTGCAACTAATTTATTTTTTTTTCTCCTCATTACACACCATACTTTTCCTGCATTCCTTGCATGCCTGGTAATCTTTGAGTGAATGCCAGAGATTGTAAATTTTACTTTGTTGGATGCCAGATATTTTTGTATTCCTATAAATATTCCTGAGCTTTCACTCTGAAGCAGAGTTAAGTTATATGGAAAAGGCTTAATCCTCTTGGCCTTGTTTTCATGATTTGTCCAACAGGTCTGAAGGAGAAAGCACCATCTGGTACCAGCTTGTCCCCAGTATTGAAGCAAGGCCCCTATGGGCACCCACCTAACCAGTCTCCTGTGACTTGAGTCTCTCTGTCTAGGCTAGTACGGACGGGGGCCATCCCCAGCCTTGTGAGCCCTAGGCCCCTTAGTTTTCTTACTTCATTCTTAGCCTCACGGAGACATCTTGCTTGTGTCCTGATGTCCCTGAACCCTGCGGGACTCTGGGGGCTTCTCCTCCGTCCTTCCCCAGATTTCCAGCTCTTCTTCTTCTTCAGCTGAGAGCATTTGCTGGGAAACACCAAGGGTCTGAACTGACCCTTCTCCTCCGCCCCCTCAAGTGAGAGCCCACGGGGGCCTGCCACTTGAGTTCTTCCTCAGTCTGTAGAACTTGACCACTTCCTAAGTCCCCCGTCAGGCTAGAGACTCATCTTGGAGCTCTGTGTCAGGCCTGGGAGCTCAAGGCCATCACTCTGTCCCATCACAGCCCCGCCCATCACTGGCACATCCCATCTCGTCTCACCCACAACAAGCACTCAAGGTGTTCCCACATGCCAGCCAGCGCTTCTCCTCACTGGGCCTCCACTGGGGCCACGTGTCTAGCTTCCTCACCTCCGCTTGCCCCAGAAGGGCCCAGCGAGTCTGTGCTCTTGGCTCAGAAAAGACTGCTGACGGCAGATCACCAGGCCTGCCAGCATGTGTGTCCACTCACAAAATACTTTCTAGGTGTCGACAGTGTCCCTGGCCTTATTTTAGTGACTGGGGAAGGTGTGGGTGATTGAGGCTGATTGAGGTCAAGCTGGTGGGTGAGCAGAACGAGCAACTTACCACCCTAGGGCAAGTTGTAGCACATTGACCCACAGGATGGTAAGGAGGAGACCCTCCCTGAGTATGAAGGCCACTGGTCAGTGCAGGATGGACTTCAGGGAGACGAGGTCCAGAACCGAAGAGTCAGTGTCAGGATTCAAGGTGAAGGAACAGAGATACAAAGTGAAAGAGGAAGCCTAGAGGTGTCAAGGAGACTTCCACCAGGCATTCACCCAAGGAAGTCAAAACAGGGACCTTCCAAGTGACTAGTCAAAGGTGAAATGTAGCCACGGTCAGTTATGAGTGGGGCAGCACAGATGACCTTCACCTTAAGCCCGCCTCTAGGGTGGGACCCAGATCCTCCCACTCCGGCCTGGATCTGTCATTCCTCACACAGCATGAAGGGTGCATCTCTTGATTTCTTCCTCTGGAAGGTGAGAGTGGCCGGACCCTGAAGATCTCAGCAGGAGTCAGATACGTGCAACTCCCAGAGTACTCTGAGGTCAGCTTTTTCAAGATGGACGAAGATCACAAGGAGGCACCCATTCAGACACCATTGTAAGGATGACACGTCCTCCCTAGGGTCACCTCTGAGGAGATTAGACTAGAAGGATGTCCCCATGGCTCCCTTGCCCATACTTTCCCGTGTGCTGTAACTGGGGCAGTGCCAGCCAGCTAGACTTTGGGAGGTAGAAATAGAAGCCAGTGAGTTGACAGGGAGTGGAGGCCTGGAGGGAGCCACATGCCTGACAATCACCAGACACGGGGAGTAGGAGGGGACCGACCAACTGGTTCTTCCTTGGCCTTAGTTGGCCCAGCTCAGCAAGCATTTCAGGGTGACCCACACAACACTCCGAGTATGACTAAATAGTGCTCCTTGACTAGTTCCAGGGTCAGGGTCAGGGCCAGGACATATGCAGAGTGTGGGCTGCCTCTGCCTCCACCCCACCTACCTGCCCCAGCCCCTGACCCCTACTCCTTTGTTCCCCAGCCTGCTCCTTTGACCCGCACTGTGGTATTTGTTGTCTCTTCCCTAGTGGGTTCCAGTGTATTTCCTATCCCCTGTCCATCCCCACATCCTGGGGACTGGAGCCTGGTTCTACTGTGGAAAGTTGCAGAGCCGACATACTACTCTCCCAGGGAGACTCAGAGACGGCGCAGGACACAGAAGCTTTCCATGGCCAAGTAGACACCCCAAGCTTCCTGCCAGGTGAGTGGGCCACATCAGCGGTCTGCAAGGTAACAGTGCTTAGAACCTGAGTGAGAAGGCGACGGGCCACGGTGGACCTGGGAGAAACATGACACTCAGGGGTCTGGACCCAGGCCCGAGCGGCTGTCAGCAGAGAGAAAAATATAACCACCTTTCCTAGGCCCGCAGGGAGATGGGGCTTCCTACCCTGGGTGATCCTCGGCCTACATCCCGACCACACAAACCCAGCAGCTGTGGAAGACGAATGGTCTGGCCAGAGCTGTAGGACCCAACCTGAGCTGAGCAAGACAGACGGTCTGTGGGTCCATGGCCCTATTCGGTCACAGGCTGTCTGGATTTCCAGGCCATTTCACTGCACATTTCACAAAGATGTGGTCCCTACTTCCAGGCCAGGCTGGTGGGGCTGCACCCTGAAATAATTCAAAGCCAGATTTACTTTGAGTCATTTGAGAGTTATTCATTTGGTTCAAGTTTAAATCACTGCAGTTTGTTGTGCCTGGCAGTACTAAGTTATCTTTGATACATCATAAATACTCAGCTTGCATCTTTTTTTTTCTTGGTATATATATATATATATATATATATATATATATATATATATATATATATATACCAAATATATATATATGTATATATATATTAATTGGTTTTGGTTTTTGTTTTTTTGAGACAGGGTCTCTCTACACAGTTCTGACTGTCTTAGGACTCACTCTGTAGATCAGGCTGGCCTCAAACCCACAGAGATCTCTGCCTGCTTCTGCTTAAGTGCTGGGATTAAAGGCGTGGGCTGCCATACCTGGCTCAGCTTGCATCTTAATATGGCAACAGGGGCAACCTTAGTAGTGTGTGTGCATTAATATAGGCATCTGGTTGGAGGTGGGCTCTGGAGACCAGCAGGAGACTGAAGTGGCACTAGGAATCATGTGGTCTCATGGACCTTCTTATGACTTCCTTGCGGTGGACCTGCATCTCAATTCATGTGGACTCTTAACGGGAGTGAGAAGGTTCAGTAAGAAGGTGCCTTCCAGGCCAAAACCACACACCTTATGTTTAGGACCCTTTGAGGACTCTCTGGCTTGGGATTTATGACCAGGATCCCCATCCCCCAGGACTGGGATCCTAGCTCTCTGGTTGCCAGGCACAGAGTACAGCCTCTGGGACAATGGTTCTCAACATTCCTAACGCTGCGACCCTTTAACCGTACAGTTGCTCATGTTGTGGTGATCCCCAACCAGGAGTTATTTTTGTTGCTACTTACAACTATAATTTTGTTACTGTTATGAGTGGTAATATAGATAACTGATAGGCAGAATATCCTGTGAAAGGGTCCCTCTCTTTGTGGCTAATACATCGATGAGATCAGCAGGTGACTTCTCAGTCAGGTGAGTACCCTGAATTTTCTACTTAGGCATATTCCCCACCCCTGACACGACCCCTTCACAGAGCCGTCTGACCCCTCCCCCCAATCTTTTCTTGCATTTTGCCTGTCTCAACCTTTCAACCCAGAAACCTTCAAGCTGGCATCAGGCAGTACGACCCCTCCCTCCCTGGCTCCTCTTTTCTTCAGATGGCCCAGCCCCTCCACAGGCTGGAGCTTCTTCTACCCTGGCTCTGCCCCTCCGGCCCATCCTGGCTACACAGCCTGTGGCCTCCAACGTGTCCCACTCCTCCTCTTGCCAGGTCTCTCCTGACTCCAGCTCAGGCTCTTCACAGGCTGCCTGTCCTACCTGACAGTGGTGCCTAAGCACTCCTGAGCCTCCAAAGGTTCATCCTGAGCCTTTGAGGCCCTGTGTGGCCCCATGACCCTCAGCGGCCCTCCTGGCCGTTACCCATGGCTTGTTCTCGCTGTAGTTGTGCTAGTCACATGATAGAAGAGAGACAGGAAAGACAGTGGTAGGTGGCAGTTCAAAGTCTCAGTAGCACAGATCTTTGGGGTACTGGCCCCCACCCCGGGACGCCCCAGAAATCCTGCTAGTAGGTGGCCAGAGGCTTCCAGAGTGATAGGCCTGTCTTTGCCAGGGCAGCAACACTTCTGACAGGAAGAGGACTGTCCAGACAGCCATCTTGAGGCAAGCGGCAAAGGCTGCAGGTCCTTCCATGTAAACACAAAGACTGGGAGGGTGGGGCTCATATTCTTTCCTTATGGGCAAGCTGTAGTCTCAAGAGGACAACCAGACTCTGTACACCCATGAGCAGAAAGAAGCCTGCTGATGTGACCTGGGGGCCAGCACATCCACAGGACCCCGGGAGCCAGCCCAGTCCATCTCCCCCTTTGTCTGACTCCACCTCGGTTGCAGGAGCAATTTCATGCTGCATCGGCAGAATAGTTCTCATATTTCTGCATAAAAATACTCATTGGGCGCCACGCCTTCCGCTCTGAGAGACTTTCAGAGCCAAGTACTGCAGTCTCAATGAAAACCAGGCCCCAGAATTCAGCTTGCTCTGTGCTGCCAGAAAGTGCCTGCCCTGTCTCTTGCAGGCAGCTCCATGGTGCGACTCAGAGTCTGGTCTTGTGGTGGCATTATCATAGGACAGTGGGTAACACAGGAGCCAGGCCACAAGGAGCACCGCTCTCCTTTCAGAAGATCCACAAGGCTTTGAATCTGACACTTGAAGTCTAACACTGACCTTGGTCATTCTAGGCAAATACTCTACCACTGAGCTACATCCCTGGTCATTGTTCCCTGCTGGGAGCTCCTCGAGGGCTGGCCAGCATCCCTGGACCCAACTTTGAGAGCCTGGACTGCCATTTCCCTGTTGTTTCTAATGGACTGTGCTTGTTCCATAAAATGAGATCGGCACCCTCCACCTCCCAGAGCTGGCAGGCCACAGGCATAACCACCCTCAACCCACCCCCACCCTGTGCAGGAGGGCTAGGTGAGGGTGGACACACTTAAATCCAGAGTGAAGCAAGGTGGCAGACCATGGGTCAGAGAAATGGCTTTCTGCCTATTTCTGCCTTTCTTAAAACTTACTTGTCCAAGAGTCTGATGGAATGGGGAAGCCTTTGCTCTGTGTGCCCATCTGTCTCAGCAGGTGGGCAGGCAGTTTCAGGCCCTTGGACCCCACTGGGAGCTGGGCTGTTCACTGAGCAAGAGACACGTGAATTCCCATCCTTCTCCAGGAGCCCTTGAGTCCCCAGGGATTCAGGACCAAGCACTAGAACATGCCCTTTAGAACCGTTTCCAGCTGCGGTGACTCTTCTGCTGCCATTCCGTGTTTGCGTGCATGTGTGCATGTGTGCGTGTACCCGTGCATGCATGCAAAACCCAGCCCCCTGGCAGGAAGTGCAGAGGCCCAAGCCAAGAGGAAAAGCAGGAGCCCAGGAGAGGCGATTCCTTTTCACCAGTCAGTGTGGGACAAAGTAGAGCACACCCTTCTCCCTCGTTTCTTCCCTTGTCTTACCCTTGTCTTCTGTGATCCCATGTAGGACAGATTTATTGTGCTACTAATTTTCAAACTGTGATCCAGTTAAACTCGTTTTCCTTCTACCAAAGTTACTTTCTCCTGTTAATCTGTCTTATACCCTGTGACAAAGACACCCGACTCCTCTGCCCCAGCGATCCCAGAAGAACTTGCAGGGGCCCCACCCAGCACCTCCAGTTTCCTACTCTAGCCTTTAGGCCCTTGGCCCTGTGCCTTTCCTCCCCAGGCATTCTACAGAGCCCTTAATTAAGTCACTACAGAAGTTTAACTCTGTCCTGGGCAAGAACAAGTTATGATTTAAAAAAAAAAAAGACCCTTAACCAGAGTGATGAATCCTCTGTAGCTAGGAAGCCTGAATTGTACAGCTGGGGACCAAACCTGTGTCAAGGACCCGGCTGAGGCCTCTCCCACATCTGGAGCTGCTCCTAGAGCCCCTCTCTGGGTGGGCAGGAAGGAGGCATCTGAGGAGGCATGCCTCAACCTGTGACAAGGAACTAAAAGGCAAATCCTACACAGAAGAAATGCCAAACTGTGCCTACAGACTCCAACCAGAGCAGGGCACTGGCTTCCTTGAAGAAAGCAACAATGGGTAGAAATCCAAAACAGTCTTGTTGTGTAAGGGGAACCTGGATCAGGGACTGTGTCCTTAGAGCGGACCTCAGTGTTTCAGACAGACAGAATCCCTGATCACCTTGCTCTTGTCCCTGGCACAGTCCCTCCATTGTCTCACTGCGTCCCTGGTGCCAACATCCGTCCCTTCTAGGCAGATGTTTGCCGAGGCTGTGAGGCTTTGTTGGGTCCTGTGGTTCTGAATGCCATGTGCAGGACTGAGGACCAGCCTAGAGCTGCTGCTGCCCACGCTGGCCTGGAAGGAGCCAGGCACACCGTGGGTCAAGGAAGTCCTGATTATATGTTTAGTCGTCTTAGAAACCGTCCACTCATCTCACCATCTAGACAAGTCATTCGGGAACAAGGCAGAGACAAGAGCCCAGAGGACTCGCATCAGCAGCTGTTAGCCCAAGATGGAGGCCAAAAGCTGCATGGGCCTTGTTCCTGCTGAGGCCCCGTAGGCTGGCGCTTCTGTGGAGGGGCACGTAAGATACGCCGGAGGCCACGTGCAGATGTCTCTTGCTTGCCAGGCTCCAAGCATACCCAGAGCCAAGATGACTTCCATCCCACCTGTAGCCCCCATTTTGGAGCTGACCCAGATATCCAGGACTGACCTGTGCTCCCAAAAATCACGGCTTCCTTCCTGGTGAGAAGGATGAGTGCTCGGCTAAGACACGGCTGCTCTTGGCAAATGGCACAATAATAACTTCAGCTCCGTTGATGTTTGCTCCCCGCCCCACAGTAGCCCAGGGGCAGGGACGAGTCCATCACCAGTCATGGGATCCCCATTTCCCTCTCTTACTCTGCTTCTCTGTGGTTTTCATTTGCCGTGTCACGATCCTAGAAGCTTTGGATGTCACACTAAGTTTTACTAGGAAGGAAGAAAATATGAAGGGCAGAACTGGGTTACCCAGCTATATATCAGGTCGCACGGAGATGAGCATAATGTGCCAACAAAGCTTAGG